ATTTTTTTTTTGTGGGTGTGTTACTGGAGTTTGAACTCAGAGCGTTGGGCTTGCTCAGTTGGGTTGCTCAGCTGGTACAATACCACTTGAGCTATACCTCTGGCTCTGTTTTTTTTTGCTGGTTATATTGGGGACCTTGTTGTCCAGGCTGACTTTGAACTGTGGTTTTCTGGATCTCAGCCTCCTGAGTCGTTAGAATTATAGGCATGAACCACTGGTATAAAGGTTGCATTCTTCTTTTTTTTCCCCCCCAAATTGAAAAAAATACAGAAACACTTTAGATTTTACAGTTCAATCTCAACGTTTCTGGAATTTTCTAGAAAGTGGGATGCAAAATAGCTTTCATTGCTTGATTTCTGATGCTGGAAGAAAACATAAAAAGCAAGATTGTCTCCAAACAAGGCAATAATAACCGAGTCGAGTCATTCTTCAGTCTGGGCACAGTGGAAAGATTCCTTGCTGATTCAGGCCGCAGGCTGGTGCTCACACTCAGTGACAATGATGTTGGACGGCAGCATCCTTCTTGTGAAACCTTTTTGCTCAGTCTGGACCAGATCATCACCCTTGTGATGAGGAGGGGTCATGACTGCATGGATTTCAGAGCATGGTTAGGTACCAAGGAGCTCCAATGAGCTGCAGTGAGATCCAGTCTCTCTTGGCTATGCCCTGCTGAGCGCATCAGAGCCTCTAAATTTAGAGTACTCTGTGGAGAACTTCAGATTTTATGGGTTGCCAACAAAACTAAAATTGACCAGAGAGGAGAGGCAGGTTTATGTTTTCTATGTCATTTACTTACATCGAGTGGAGCCCAGCCCAGGTCAGGTCAGGTCAAGCTGCAGCTGCACTTTGTTCCCCTGCGCCATTTTCTAGAAGAGGCTGGAAGGAGGGAGTAGCAAACTGGCCAGGCTAGAGTTTGAAATTGCCTCCAATTCTATTCCTCATGTGGCTGTCTACTATTGCTCTCTTTGCGTGAGGCTGAGGGTAATACAAGTGCTGTGAAGAACACACATTTATTTTCTACTTCAGCCGCATTGACACTCTTTTCGTTTGGAAGAGAGACGGGGAGGTGGTATATATTTTCATAGTCAGATGTGCCTGAAGGGTGGATCACTTGGACTGAGAGAATTTAATTTGCAAGGTGTCCAAAACGAAGAGTAGATTGTTGAAGGGTAAATAATGATGGTGATCGAAGTGATCAGAAGTGTGATCAGCAGCTTCTGGTATTGCGGTAGAGAAAGAGAGAATGCTGATCAGTCTGTGGATGAGCTGTTGATGGGAGCTGAGGCTGGCATTCTCTCCACCTTCTACCAGATATACACACGTAGATGCTTCCTGGCTAATTCGTTATAGGCTGAAACACTGCCCTTGGCAGTAACGGACTAATTAGATCAAAATCATGAAAAGCCTTTTGTTACCCTGAACATCTCTAGTGCAGCAAGTTCATTGGTAATGGCCTAACAAACCAGTTCAGTCCAGAAGCGTCTGTCTGTTCTGAACTTAACTTACTATCCCACACATTTGAGGTGATTTTAACATGCAGGACTTCCTATGAAATTATGAGCCTGGGCGTGTCGTCTCTACCGATCAAAGTCTATGAGCCTTGCTTCTGTTTATTTTTTAATGTGTAGACAAGATAATACATCTCTCTCAACTCTAGTTTTCGACAATTAAGACAGGCAGGCTATGTCGACATCAACACATATATTCTGTGGATGCCCACACAGTGGATGTCAAGTTAAATTAAGGTCTTTCTTTCTTTCTATAGGGACTTCATGACTGTGTGAGGTTCCCTCTTGTTGTGTAGCTGCCACATCTTTAAACCTGGTTGGAGCTCTGTTGCCTTAGCTGATATCTCCCTCAGAAGACAGGGCCTTGAACCTGCAGTGTTTGTGATTGCTGGATTCACAAAGATCTATAGCCACGGGGGTTTTTGGCTGACTAGCTAGCCCCATCCTGTAAGATGTTCTGGAACATCATCTTCTGGGTGTCCAGATATCAAGTCACTGCCAACATGACACAAAGTATCAGCCACTGAACAAAGCCGTCTTTCCATCTTTCCCTTTAGCAGCTTGTATTCTCTCTCCATTTTGCCATCGCCGATCCCACATCTATACACACACAGGGCCCAGTGTACAACAGCAGCTGCAGAATGCAGGTCTAGATGGTGCTGAGCATGGGCACCAGCATCCGAGCGACTTAACAGAAACCACGAGAAGCTCTTGGAGGCACTTTTCAATGCCTGCTTTCCAAAAATCAGACTTGCATCCACGCATGTCTGTATCTCACTTGCTTCTTTCTTACATAGCTGTTTCCCATCCCACCTCTGCCTACTCAACTTTACTGAGACCCTTCGTTCGTCTCCACCCTTCCCTTCAACTGCCGCTTCCATGGAGAAACAGAGAGGTTTCTCACTACCTTACCCTTGCAGAGATGTTTCTATGTGGGTATGAACAGATGAAATAAACAGGAACTTAGGTTAATTTAATAGAAAAAATAAAATATGGAATAACATTGAATTTGGCCAGTTTCAATTACAACCATTTGACTGTATTTTACAAAAAAACAACTGAACATTTTACACATGTACAGTATTTTTTTTTCAGTAAAGGGGGCTGAGATTTAACAATGGGTCATTTTTCATTAGTGAAGTTGAAAATCAAAAGACAAAAAAAAAAAAAGAGAGAACAGAAGATAGGGCTTTTGTTTCTAGAAGGTTAGAGCATTTGTTCACGTCTCCAAACTTTGTACTATCCATTACATATATCTCATTATGAATATATATATATATATATTTATACATAATATATAACATTAACTTAAACTTTGAAAGCATTATGTTCTATTAATAATGTCATATAGATAAACGAGGCAGTGACACTAGTAGTTTGAACCAGTCTTCCAATGAGGTGGCCAGGGATGAAATGGAATGCACTAGTGGACCCAAAAGAATTTGGTTGTCATGTGGATGGTTATTTGTTTAAGCACAGAGACCCTGTTTCTGTCTTTCCTCTGACCATGACCTGTGCCTCAAGTATTATGGGCTAGTCCAAGTAGGTAATTTCATTGCAGGCAAAAATTTCGCTCAATCATCTGCTTAAGCTTGCTTTAGGATCATGTTTCCTTCTGGTAATTTGAACACTGTGCTTTAAAGTGTCAAATCTATATGTTGTCCCCAAGATTACCTTCTTCTGAAGGGGGAAGATGGTCAGCAAATCTGTCAGTTGCTCAGGTACATATGAATGATTATGGGACTTGAAATCATCACAACGCAAGAATGAGGCTCATGAAGACTATTTACTTATTATTCACCTTGGACTGGCAGTTATTCGATGTCTAGGAATATTTCTGAGACAGATTTTTTTTACTAGCGTGCTGCTCCCAGGATGACTTTAGCATTCATCCATTCCTTCCCAAGACTGCCTGTACTAAATCACTCTCAGCAGCAAAGCTAATGGCATCTGGGAAGCAAAGCTCCCTAAAGCTTAGTGCCTGCAATATTTGGCTAGTCCCTCCCAAAGCTAATGAGGTCACTATGGAGATTTGATATGAAAAGTGAAGAAACTTGGTATCAGTCTCCCTTCCCCTCCACGGAGGAGCTGTGAAACGAACTGCCAGGTTTCTTCATTTCTGACCATTGATCCACAACAGTTTCCTCGTAATTCATTCTGCTAGAGCCCATGAAATATTTATGGAGTTATAGAAAACCAGTGAAGAAATTTCTAAAGAAAAGAAAACAAAAGAAACAAACAACCCCCCCCCCAACAAAAACATTAAACCCCCTCCAAAACAACCCAGATGATTTCATCAACATTCAATGGACAAGAGTGTAGGAGAATGGTCTAGCGAGAGAGGAACAAAAGAGTGAGAAAATACAGGACTGAGGGTACAATCGTGCCACCCATATTCAATTTCCAGTTTTATTTTTTTTTTTTCAAATGACAAGAGGAAAAGACTTCAGATAAGCACCATTGAAAAACATTGCCCGGCTGTCTTGAGCACAAGCTTAAATAGATTTAAATAAATTCCATTTCTTAAAAAATACAAGGACCTCTTAGAAACTTTTGACTCCAGGAAGAAATTTCCTGCATCATATCCAAAATGCTTCCCATCGCGATCAACGGAATTTCTGATGATCTTCAAGAAAAGGCTATGGGGGGGGGGGGGGGGAGGTAATGGTGAGATAGCACCAGAGATTGTGCAGGGTTTAGGAATTTAACTCTCAAAGTTTTAGGGGAGCTGAGTCAGCCTCAGCTCTTTTCTGTCCTCTGGATTTTTGCCATCACCAATTGTTCTGCATGGAACAATCCTGTTAGACTAGCCGTGTTAAAACAACCCAATCTTCCATGGAAAAAAAAAAAAAACCAGTAGCAGCAAGTCTATCTGATAGAAACCAGTGGCACAGACTTATCAAGTGAGTTAAACGCAAAGACTAGTACAGAATGCACCAAGCAACTTACATGTGGAAAGTATCAGTGTTGACCTCTGAAACACTACGACAAACAACACTGAATGCTAGTCTGTAGGATGTTCCCTAAGCCCTCGGGTCCAGTTTCCTGCCATTTCCCCCTGTGGTGGGCTCCAGCGTGGAAATGAAGTGATGTAAGAGCCTGCTGTTTGACTTTCATCTATGTACATTCTTGTGATGTTTTGGAAAAAAAAATATTTTTAGGCATTTCAAAGGGGGAAACAAGTAAGTTAGATGCAAAAGAAATGGAAAAAAAAAATAAAAACAAGAAAAGGACCTTCAGAACTCAGAGCAGGAAATCAAATCATTACTTTTAACATCAAATTTTGGCATCAAATACTTTGGTCATACAATACTGTCTCTGTGATTCTGGCTGTTTAGCACTTAAACACCCAGTTCTAAAAGGTAGGCTTGTTGTAGGTTTATTTTTTTTTCCATTTAAGTTCTCACAAAACAGTTCACCAGCATCTCCCTGCACAAACTTGAGAGAGAGAGAGAGAAAAAAAAGATAGCAAGAAAGAGAGAGGTGGCTTGCTTTTTTTGGCTTTTTTTTCTTTTTAATAATATGGAATAATCTATAAGTCTACAGGAACAAAGAAAGTTAGATAGCCGCTCAGCCTTGGAATGTACATGTTTTGCAGCAGAGTTGTTGAAGAACCTTCCGTTGACACAGATTGTTCTTTTTCACAAGCACACAGAAGCCTCCTTCCGCCCAGGACTCTTCCGTTGCTTTTCCGGAAGTCAGCAAGACAGAAGGAGGAGTAGAGGTCGAAAGCACCATGATGCACACATGGAAGGAGGTTTTGATTGGCCAGAGAGGCAGATCGGGGGGTTGGAAGAGGTCATTCAGGAGCAGTCAACAAGGAGGAAATTTGGTCCACCCCAAAGTGATTTCAGTCAACAGCATGGTTTTTCAAGAAGAGATAATTGCAGTCCCGTGGTATATGTGATTGGTATCCATTGTGAAAGGAAAAAAAAAAAGATTGGAGAAAGAATAAATTAGAAATCAATAATAACACAAGCAAGGATTTTCTTTCTTCCCAGAATTACAAGGAGTAGAGAATATTCAGTCATTTCTAACATATTTCATTGAATCCAAGACACAAGGATTTCAAATGCATCACTAGATATGACAGGAAAAATAAAGCTTTGTAACTAGCCTGTGATACCATAGTTCTCTGATCAATTAGAATTTTAGTTAAAGGATTTGTCATTTAACATAGAGTTTTGTTTTGAGGCTTGTACAATGAGCCTTCCTTTGAATACTGAATAATGATTTAAACTTTTGAAGCTCTATTAAACTACTGTTAAGAAAGCAGAAGCCAGGTGCCAATTAGTAATTCAGCTGAATGGCCAACTCTGTGCCCAGACCTCCTATGGAAGCAGTGACACTTACCATCTGCCAGTCAAAGCAGCATAAACTGCCATACATTATAAGATGCATCTGGTTTCAGAGATCTTAAAATGTTTCTTTAAGTGTGTCTTGGAATCATAGAAATATGACCACTGAAAGGGAACGAACAGTACATTCTTACAAGCAGTTGTCATGTGCCTTGAAAGTTCTCTGAGCCATGAAGAACCTCTTCTTTTGTGTGTACGTGAAGGGAAGGGTACGGGGGCCTGGAGATCTCACTTGACATTTTTGCTCAAGGCTGATGTTCTACACTGGAGCTATAACTCTACTTCTATGTTTCTGGTGGTAAATTGGAGATAAGAGTCTCATGGACTTTCCTTCCTAGGCTGGCTTTGAGCGATGGTCCAAACTTCTGAATAGCTAGGATTGCAGGTGTGAGTCACTGGTGCTTGATTAAGAATTTGAACTGACTTGACAGTGAACTCATTGTGATGACCCTTTTTTGTTTTCCGCCCTTTCCCACAATCCTGACACTTCGCTTTTTACCAGTTTCCCATATGTACAACTTACTCCACGTCCATCAGGAGTTTATCAAAGGTTGTCAAACCATCACAGACTTGAAATTGCCCAGGACCCAGGTGAGAGACAAAAACTTTGCAATGTCCCTCTGTCAATCCTTTGTCCCCCTCGGTCTTCTGCTCACCTTCCCATAAGCAGTGAAGGTTGTGGTCAGATATAAAGGCCCCAGACTTTTAAGTAAAAGGTGATCTTCGGGGAATTGTCACATCAGGCCTCACACCCCAATAGGGTGAAGTGAGAATTCATCCTGGCCAAGAAAGCTCAGAGCCCAGGCCTGAGTGAGTTCACAAGGATGCAGCCACCTGCAATGTGTCAGGAAATCAGAGCCATGCTCTATTCGTGGCAGCAGAAACCCTATTTTCTGGGCCCTTCCGCAGTTCTGCATAAGGAGCTATGGAATAACAATGCAGCTGCAGTAGCATTATCGTCTTCGTTTTATGCTTATGAGGGACATAAGGCCCAGAGAAGTTTATAACCTGCCCCAAGATCTGAAGCTCTGGAATATAACATTCTGACGCATAAGCCCACCGTCGACCAACAGCAGTACTGGGCTGCCTGTCCAGCAGAGTTTTCAAACGTCAAAGCATTCAATCGAAGGCACAGAATGAAGTTAGGGCAACGGTCTAGCCACTGAGACAAACATCTTCTATTTCTTACTTTCTAAAGCACGCACAAATGCATACTTTCAATTTATTTTAGTGATCCCAAAGGTGTTTTGAACCGCCATTCAATGTCTTTGTCTTATTGATATGGATTTTGTGTGTAAAGACTAGGCCTCTGTGAATTCCATGGAATACCAAAGCTCATTAAGTGCTGGAATTGAAAGAACTTAAATTGATTGATTTTACAGATGAGGAAACTGTGGCTAGAGGTGAGGGAATGTGGCATATGCCAAACTATCAGGTGAATGGGAGCTGTACATTAAAAACAGGTGGGAACTTCTAGAAATATCCATGCCCAGGCTACATCCCAGGCCAAGTCAATGAGAATCTTGGGGAAAGTGTGGGATTCCAGCACCTTTGTTAAGAACCACTGATGCAAAAAAAGAAATGGATCAGCATTTATAATGCTTCAGGCCTACATTTTGTCTATCACTTTCTAGCATCCTATCTTGGAATCTCCTTTCTGGAAGACTAGAATATTCATTACTAGCCTCATGGGCTTCATGAAAGATTCAGATTCCATCCGATTATCATTTACATATGAAAATGACAAAAAAATCCAAATAGTAGAAGGGGCAGCCTCCCTGCTCCCAACCCAACAAACTTAAGGAATCTGCACTATTGTATTTCATGCTACTATTATTTACTATTATTACTACTAAAGTTTCAGGCTCAAGTGGTAGAGTACCAGCTGTGAACAAGAAAGTCAAGTGAAACTACAAGACCCTGAGTTTTACCCCATACCAGGGTGTGTGTGTACACACAGACAGACAGACAGACAGAGTGTTCTTAGCCTTTGTAAAAAAACAGAACATAGGAAAATTGTATGCATAATATTTACTGTAAAAAAATCTTTTTTTAAAAATATGCAGGGCTTTAAAAAAGTTGAGTAAAAAGTACATATGGTAGAGACTGGAAAGAAATACATTAGAATTAACAAGAAAAGCCTATACATTATGATTCCAACTGTATGAAATTTTGCAGAGGGAAATTCTGCAGAGACAGTAGGGGTTGGAAGGGAGAACAAATAGGCAGAGCACTGAAGGTTTCTAGGGCAATGAATGTGGAGGACACATCATTATGCCTTTGTTTAAACCAAGAGGATGCACAACACACTGAAGGCATATCCCAGTGTCCACTATGGGCCTTTCAGCTCAGTGAAGGAAGGCTATGCAAGTGTATAGACAAGCAGTGTAAGAGCACTGTCTGTACTACTCAATTTTCATGTGGATTGAAAGCTGCTCAGAGAAATAAAGTTTATTATTTAAAAGAACTAATGAGCCACGTTGGTCAGTGGGACCACATGTGATGAATCTTCTTGCAATTAAAAAAAAATAAAGGAAACAGCTGGGCATGATGGCATAACCCTGTAATCCCAGCACCCACAAAGCTGAAGCAGGAGTATCAAAGGTGTAGGCCAGCTTGAGATACACACAAGTTTTAGGTCAGCCTGTGCTACAGTGAGACCCTGTCTCAAAATAAATAAATGACTAAAAAATTAGAACACTCAGCCCATTAGAGTCATACTAAAACGAGTGAATGTGAGCAAGATGTTCGGCAGGTTGCATAGAATGCATGCTTATTAGTTTCTTTTTTGAAATGGAAATAGTGTTAGGCCTTAAAATAGAAATACCACACTTTGGTCAGAGATCCACATGAACACTTGTACTCACCATCTTTGCAGATGGCTCCCATCTGACACGCTCCTAGGTCTAAGAGATACCCACTGGGGCAGCTGGTACAGTTCTTGAACCCAGGGCCATTGCAAGTTAAGCAACTCGTATCACATCTGCAGGAAAAAATGTACCCATTTTCATTCCTTTTGCACGTCGTGCAAAAGGAAGACATGTAATTATCAGCCTGCTCATGTCTTCTTTAAAAATCTTGTTTTACAACAACACACCAGATAGGTAACTCAAGGTAAAGCTCTAGGGCAATACCCAATGAGGAATGGTCAAATGATGATTTTGAATGTGCAGTTTCTCAATATTTATGCTAGAGCTGGGGCAGGTGCACTTACTTTCTGCAGGACTTGTAGGCGTTCTCTGAAGAGTGGTCTAAGTAATAGCTGATGCTACAGCTTTGCACACACCTCCCCTCCTCCATGAAGTAACCTTCTGTGCAATTAATGCATCCATCAGCTCCGGCCCCTTCAAGAAACAAAGATGCAGGTGAGACCGTGGCATGGCTGCTTCTTTATCAGACTAGGAGAAATGTCACGCCCCATGACCATTGCAAGTCCTAATTTAACTGTGTGGTGCCCCCTCCGCCCCCACCATCAGGTAGGGTTGGTGAAAGTGCCTCCTATTTCATATCAAATTGATTTGCCATAAAGCATCTGCTCTCTTTAGAATGAGAAGGAGATACCTCCCCAGTAAGGAAAGGCTGGAGAGAGGGCTGGCCTTCCATTAAACCCACCAAAATACACTGGTCTACATTTCCTTTAAATACACTGAGGGAGTCGCATAAATGGCAACTAGAACTGGCCAAACACAAGCCAAGAAAGGAAAAAAGGAAGACATGGAAGAAAGGTAGACCAGGTACCAGCACAAGTAGCACAGAAGCGGTGGCAGGGCTGGCAGTCCAGGCCGTTGAAGAAGTGTCCGTCTTCACAGGTGACAGTACACCGGGACCCCTGCAGGCTGGGAGAGGGTAAACACACTCTGAGTAGCCTGTGCGATCACCGCGAATCAGCAATGATTCCCCCAAAGTCCACAGTAACAAATACACCAGCCTCAGAGACCAGTGAATTTGGTGAAGCATCAAAGCAAGGGTAGTGGCCTGGAGGTCTCTTTTTCCCTTTTGATTCCTGTAACCCTGTCTGTAGCATGTACAGGTGCGGCTGAGCTTTAGCGACATACTATTGTGGACATATGCCACAATAGGCTTCAAACATGCTCTATAATTCTAAACACACTAAGAACACATGGATTACAAGTAAATGAAAGTGTAACAGCTATTCCCACCCAACTCCCAACCATTTCTTCCTGGAGGAGTCTTTCATGTACTTGGATGTTTCCGAGTTTAACTTTCTACTGGTCCTACCAAACCCACAGAATTCTTGGGCTTAAAGGTAAAGGTTGTGCTTACCAAACCTGAGGCTCTGGGTTCAATTACACACACACACACACACACACACACACACACACACACACACAAATATATCTTTACTTTTATTTCCTGATTTATTCATTTTAAACACCTAATCACAGGAATTTAGCAAAAAAAAAAAAAAATCAGGAATGTACCTACCATGCTGCTTTGTCACACATCTTGACGTTTCTATTCTTTATAAATACATTTTTTATTGTAAAAAATACTGTACAGAGGGGTTACAGTTACATGAGCAACATCTTGACTTTTCATGGTTGTGTTATTTAATATTTCCATGTTTAATCTATTCCACATTGATTTATTTCTATTTTTCTAATTCTATGAGGTAGTAGTGAGATGTCTGAATGTCAAAGGGGGATTGTACATATTTTTCTCTCCTATCTAATTTGTCAGATTCGTTATTTTCTTAGCTCATAGACTGCTTTTTAAAAACAAAGAATAAAAATATTTTTAAAATACTTAGCATAAAATATAACTATTATAATCACAACTAGTATGATTGGAAACAGATGAAATTCTATATCATCAAGGAGATGCCAGCGAGATTCTATGTCAGAACTACGGTCAACTGCTTGGTTTTCCTAGAGGCTATATGCTTGCTTTTCATTTCCATTATACATGTATATATGCATTCACATAACATACATGTATGCACAGTATATATGTATGAATGTATTTACGCACACATATAAAGATACATTTTATCTATATAAATATAGGTTTTGTTGACAGAGCCTGTGGACTTAAACCATTTAATACATGAGGATGATACTCATTTTAAAAATTAAAACTTATCTTCCCTTATGCTCATTAAAAAAACAGGGAAATTCTGAAACTAAAGCAAGTGAAAAAAAATACATCCCTAACACTCTCTCATGAGCATTTTAATTCATTTGCCTTCTGGATTTTATGCACAGATATTTCCCAGTGTTTTGTTCTTAGCCTGTGGAATAATTTATACGTCTCCTGAGGCTATATTGTCAACTCTAGGAACCTTTAGGCAAACGCAAGAAGCCTCAAAGAACTTTTCTGTGAAAGTCTACATCCTTCACAGACCTTCTTGCTGGTTTAACAACTGCCATTTAAAACGACAAGAAAAGGAGCACCTTTTTCCTTTTCTACAACAGTAGAAAAAAGGACATCACACCTAATGGGAGGATATAAGGAACAATACAAAATTTAACAGCTATGAAAAAAGCTGTCTGTCTGTCTGTCTTTCAATGAAAGGACACTGCTTCTGAGGTGGTATCGATGCAAAAGGCATAGAGGCTGCACCATATGGCAACAGATAAATGGAGGGAGATGGGTATTGAGAGTAGACACCAAAGTCTGTAGGCCGATGGGGCCTGGACACCGTCCTTCCTAGATAAACTGGCTGAATGAGGTCTGCGCTGTCCACTGTGGCCCCTGAGCCCGTGAAGGGTGGCTGGTCAAGAAGCTGAATTTTATAAATGTATGCCTAATTTGAAAAATCTGCACTGGACTGCTGTATTGACAAACAACATATTAGGCATAAATTAAAATGAAACAGCTTAGCTCTGTTGTATACTCTCCATGAGCGTTCAAAACATCTAAATATAGAGTTGGATGCCAGTGGCTTCACACATGTAATTCTAGCCACTCAGAGGGTTGAAAGCAGAGGGCTGAGATTGAAGTCAGCCCAGCAGATAAATCAGAGAGACAGTTGTCTCCAGTTAAGCAGCAAAAACTGGAAGTAGAGGTATGGCTCAAGAGGAAGAGCACCAGCTGAAAAAGCGAAGCCAGAGCGCAAGGCCCTGGGTTCAAGCCCCAGTCCTGACACCAAAAAATCCCAACCAAGCAACAAGCCAAACAAAACCCATCTTAAACAGAGACAGTTCTCATCAAAGTAATTGTCAGAGCTGAACTGTAGTTTAAGAGGATATACACCAGACATCAAAGACTTAACAGAAAAATGGTGGTGGGGGAAGGGGTTGACTTAAGTACCTTGTAGGCACGTTTGGAAATATAAACATGGAAACCCTTTGTACAACTAATATAGGCTAGTTAAAATATATAAAAAGACTTGTTATAACAACAGAGAAGAATATAAAATACCTCACTAGTAGTTTTTTTTTTAAATACTGGTCACGTGTTGGGATAACAACATTTTGGATATATTAAGTCAAGTAAAATATTTTATTAAAATCAATTTCCTCTGTATCTTTTTTACTTCTTTTAATATGGCTACTGGCACATTTAAAATTATATACAGGGCTCATATTTCTATTGGCACTGGTTTAGCATACTCTACAAAACGTTCTCTGAGAAATAAAGAATATAATTTAAGTAATTTTGTTACACATGGACCAATTATGTGCCAGGTGCTGGAGTAAGTAGTTCATAAACGTTATCATGGTTTATTTTTATCGTAATCCAGCAAAGTAGAAATTATTATCACCATTTTATACATGAGCCAGTGGTGGCTAAGTAAATTATCCAAGGTCATGCAGCGAACCCAGAGCAGAAGAGGATTTGAGCCTACATCTCACTTCTTTCTGCCACACCACTTTTCTGCTTCTTCAAGAATTAGGAGGCTAAAAGGACAGATATTTAGCAACATCAAAGTCTAGAGATTTATGGAAGAAAGACATAAATTTATGAATGGAAGGAATTAATGGAAGAAAGGAGATAAATCTACAATCAATGGAAGTGAAAAATAATCTCCCAATACTAATTAATGTGAAGAATTCTCTGCTTGGAAACAGTATAGACCACGCATATTTTATCTTGGAACAGAGATAGAAATGTTTTTACTATCATGACTTAAAAAGAATCCAACAACTGGTGCCAGTACCTAGAATCCTCACTTCTTGGGAGGCTGAGATCTGAGGATCATGGTTTCAAGCCAGCTAGGACAGGAAAGTCTGTGAGACTCTTATTTTCAAATAACCAAAAAAGCAGGACATGAAGGTATAACTGAAGTGGTAAAGTGTCAATCCTGAGTGAAAAAAGCTAAAAGACAGTGCCCAGGACTTTAGTTCAAGCCCTAGAGCTGGCATACACACACACACACACACACACACACACACACACACACACACACACACACACGAATCCAATGTGGGAGAATCCAAACTCCCCATAGTCAGAATACAAGCCTCACTCAGCCTTGACCTTTTCTCCTGAAGTCAAGAGACTTTGAGTTCATTTCAGCTTCAGATTATTCTCTCATTCAATCTAGTAAATATCAGCTTCAGCAATGAGCAAGTCATCTATTCCATGAAAACGTCTCCCGGTATTAAATCTATGTGCATACTGCAGTATAATGGAGCCAAGCCTGAGGCACTTAAGATAAGCAAATGATTGGGTTTGTGCAGAGAACTAGTAAAGATAAGGGAATGTTCCACCATGCCGGGCATTAATCAGGTGGATTAAATATCATTCACTAGCATTACCTGCACAACAATCCTTGCCTGGCACAATACAGGTCACCAAGCACGAAGGCTGCCTGTCGAACGGTTACTTTTATTGACATGTATCTGAGGCATCTTTTCCCCAGAGAACTTCCTCAGTTAATAACCCTTCCTTAGCCAAGATGACATGCCATACTCCAATCTAACTGTAGAGATCATGCGAAGAGCAGGTAAGTGCTTCATTGGTTGTCATACCGGGCAGAGGGTAAGAGGTCTGTTTATTTACTTGTTTTTCCTTCCATTTTCCATTTTGTTTGTTTCTTGTGCTCTGTCACTTGACGGACTTCTCCCCTTTCTTACCTGAATCCATCTCGGCATTCTGTACAATTATGAAACTCAGTGCATGTCTTGCAATTTTCACTGCATTTCCGGCAAAGATTTTTCTCTGTTAGGAAAAAAAAATAAACAAAAAGGAAACAATATTACAAACAATCGGCCAAGTGGATTCCATAAAAGCATGTGGCGAAGTTCTAATGTTTCTAATATATGGTACGAGGCCCATGGTCTTGAGTAGAAAATTGGTAGGAGAAGTCCCAGAATTACTATCTGTTATCATTGCTCAGCAATCCATACAGGGAGACATGAATTATTACACTGAGAACAACATAGCTATCAGCCATCCTCCAGGCAAGAGGGCCACAGCTTGCTTCATTCTTGGTTGAATGCTTTCTTGGCTTGTTCCTCTCCCCATGTGCTTTAGTAAGCAGGGTTTCCTGACATACGGAGCTGGGGCACCGCTACTATGTAAGGATTACAAAAGCAGTGCTAAGGAAATGGTAGGCTTCCAGGATTGCATCTCTCCCTCTCTCTCTCTCTCCTACATAGCTCAAGCAGGTCTGAAACTTGGAATTATTCCCACCTTCATCTCTTAACTTCCAAAGGCTGGAATTACAAGGTGAGTTACACCATGCTCCACTGAGAATTTCACTTCTTTCAGTTTTTAAGAAGTAGGGGTACCCATTTCAGAAATTTTGTCTGGTGTTTTTTTTTTTTTTTCTGAGAGAACTCTTGTTTCTTTAAGCTTAGGTTTCTTGCTTTTCTGAGGTTGTGTAGACACATGATATTTCAGAGTCATGATAAGCTGCTATGGAGAACAATTATGGAGAACTCAGATGTAAAGCCCAAGATTATCTGTAGCTATTTGAGTCCTATACTGGAGTACTAATATTCCTGTTTAAAGACTATGCAGTTTTCTAGGGCGATGTATCTTTGTTTATTCAATAATTACAATTGGTGAGAATCCAAATTTTTGCATGGTGGTAATTATTTCTGCCCCTTAGGAAAAAAGACCCCCTTCCCAGACACAGTGGCTTTCCTATGCAGGAAGTTAGTAAATTTTCCTTCCAATTCAACAGAAGGATTTCTTTCTTGCCTTTGCTGGCGGCTGATCATCTTTGATCCCAATTGTCTTGTAACAAGTTCCTGAGTAAAACAGTATGTATACATCTGACCCAAGTTCATACTATATTTACATGAAAGTCACATTAAAAAAATATCTCAAAAAGCTAACTCTGATACCAAGCCGACATGGCGCCTCTTTGGGGAGGGGACAGAAGAAGCTCTCCGCATCCTGTTTCTGTAGCGCATTGCGGGAGTACTTCTACAGTGCAAACTGAGGACAAGAACATGTTTTAGAGGAAATACCTATTTTACTTCTAGGATTATGGAAAGTTAAATGTGTGCGAAACACACGCTAGCTATTTGGCTTCTACACATGATATCCCTGGGTAGGCAGGGATACTGAGGCTCCCTAATAGATAACCTACCACAGGGGTTATCAGAGACTGTTGCCGGGCAAATTCAATCTCCTGCATGACTGTGCTAGAAGAGGACTCTCAGAAGGTTAGCTGGTTTCTTCTAGATTTCCCAGTTACCCTAGGCTGACTTTGCTCTCAAAAATCCTAATTCTGAATACAGAAGACAGGCTATATCCAAGTTCTGCGAGTACTTGTAGTTAAAAAAAGAAAAAAAATCATTAACTCTGGGGCCAATCTTGAGGACCTTCGGAAGCAGTTGGCAACAGACAGTTCTCTGTAAAGAATCTAAACTGTCTTTTAAAATCAAGGGCTTAGATATTGTGTGATATGAAGCAACACCCACATTTCGTTGAGCAGCTAGATGTCTCTCAAGGTCAACCCCCGCATCTCTTCTCTAACTCAAATATTTGAAATGAACTCACTGGTGTCCTGATATGACCCGTCAGGGCAGTGAGTGACACAGCTGTTGATTTCTTCATTCAGGAAGTATCCGTATTTACAGGACAGACACTGATCACCATGGCTGCCGAAGCAGGACTCACAGTTGGGAGCACATTTCCGGCATCGCTTCTTGTCCGCATGGTAGTGGCCAGAAGGGCAGCTGGACACACAGATCCTGTGTTGGAGCACATGAAATTTGAGAAGGGTATGCCACCTGCTACTCAGCGCAGAAGAGCTGACACTTAGTTGATGTTGGCCACAAGATCAAGTCTAAACTAGGGTGCTGAGGCTAAATCCAAAAGGCCAAATGGCTAGTTGTTCAATTGTTGAGGGCGGAACACAACTATATAGTCCTAGTCTACCAAGTAATGAGTATTTTGGTCCTAACCAAGTCCTAGTTAAGGTCTAGCTCTTTAAAAGTAATGGTGGTGAGCTGCCAAGTCTTGAGTAAAGTGTATGGGAGCCACGATTATACATAAAAAGGCTCCTACGGAGTGGTTCCTCCTAGTATTGTGTGTTATACGGACCCTGTGTGTGTGTATATGTGGATGAAGACAGTGGTTGTGCATTCTCATCCAAATGAATACAAATACATTTAAATTTATGTTGCTCGTGAGAAACTGCATTTTTCCCAGATAGCTTGTTTGCTGCCCACAACTGAAAGGCGGGGCTTAATTTATTCACTCGACAGATATTTTACTGAGCACAACAAGAAATAGAAGGCATTTTCTAAGTGAAAGTGATAAGAAAGGTAACTGACGTAGCCAAGTAAATTTTCCTTGAGGAACTGACTTTCCATCCTACTTAACACAGGAATCCTAGCTTCTCTCGATATCTCTGGCGGCTGGGGTATAAACGCACGGTAAGGCATCTTTCTGGAGGGAGCTTTGTTTGGCCTGATGGGAGAGGAGGCAGGTGGGGGCAGGTGGGGAGGGTGATCCTTGAGTGGGAAGGTTCTCAGACTGGCCCTACTGAGCATACATTCTCATAGTTCTAGGCAAAATACAGGGCTTCTAGGTCCTGAGGTGGACTCCAGGGCCCAGAAGAGAAAAGTAAGAACAGAGACCGGCCCTGCTGCAGGTTGGGGAAATGTGTGAAAGCATCCATTTGGTCCAGGTCCCAACCTTTTCCTGAAGGGAAAAATACAACCAGACTATCAAATACCAACGTGATAAAAGGAAGAACTTCAGTTAGGAAGATCAGCTTCAAGAGATCTGTTGCACAACATGGCGGCTACAGTTCAAGCACTGCATTCATGATAACAGCTAAAAGAGTAGACTTGTTGAATGTTTGAAATGATAAGGATGTGAGAGAATGCACATGTTAAAGAGCTTGATTTAGTCATCTTATAATGGATGGACGTTTTATAACATCATGTTGTCTTTCACGACGTATACACAATTTACATAATGACATTTAATGTAATGTATATAATGATGAAAAAGATGTGTATAAGATATACTTAAATATGTATTTAAATATGTATATATATAAAATTTTATTTGCTAATTAAGAAATAAAAGAGAAAACAATGGAGTGGAGAAGATCAGGCCATGAGCATGGCGGGTCCCTCCTCATTCTCCTTCCAAATGCGAGAAAGGAGCAGCATTTTGTGCATGGAGATGGGCCGTGCTACGCAGCAGCCGTAATTCTGTCCTGGGGCTTGCGGCAGACCTGGGAACACTGCGGCTGTCTGAGGGCACTTGTGGTGGTGTTCTGGCCAACCGTGGGACGGAAAGAACATGGAACTTTCAGCCTCAACTGTGGGCACCTGCCGGGGCCTCTGTCTTACCGGGTGTTGTTTTTCAGCTTGTAGTAGTAGTGCAAGCAGTCGTTGCAGTGTTCAGGTCCAGGTCCATCGCAGCCAACCCCACCACTGCACTCAGGGTCACAGGGACCTTTCCAAAAGACATCAGAGTAACATTTAGGGGGAACAGAATGGCTCTAGCACACCAGTTCTACCTGGAACTTGGGTTTCCCTGCCTCATGCACTGAAAAAAATATTTTTTACGCAGAGAAATAAATATGTGGCTGTCTGCCCAGACATGAACTATTGATTTTTTACTGGTAAAAAACCTCAATTGCTTGAGTATCAAGCATGTAAATTCTAGGCATGGCCAGGTCTTCAAAACCCATATGGCTGCCTTGGGAAAGCTAACAAGTTAGCTCAGAATTAAACAATGCCAATGTAGTAGATAGAAAAAGCCATCAATGGCAAATAATGTGCAGAAGAATTAAATGTGAGAGTTATGGGAAAATGAGAGGTGGCTGACAAAAGAGAAGAAAAGGTTATTATGTAACACCTGGACAAGGTCGCCTGTCTCCTCCAAGGTCATTCAAGCCACTGAATACCTGTGAAATACCGTGGCCAGCATGAAACTTCATTATGGCTTCAGGTACAGGCTTATCAGCATCTAGTCTTGGATCACAAAGCAAGTACTTCAGGCACAGATAATAGGTTTAAAATTGCACGCAATTTAAGGGCCAATGGGCAACTCAGCAAAGGAAAATGACATAAATTAAAAAAAATGCAAGCTAGCTTACGGAATTCTAGGCCTGTAATAAAGGATCATAATTTCTCTGGCTACATATTCTTTAGAATATGTAGAAAGAATGGATGGTAGGGAGGGAAAAAGAATACCAAGGAGATGGAATATTTTATGACTGATCAAAAGCTGTTTAATAGCATTTAATAGCTACTTAGAGCATCTTTTAAACTTCATTTCCTTCATCTTCATATTTTAGTGTATTTGATCTCATAATCTTCCTGTTCTTCTCCACTGAAAATTCATGATTTTAACTATCAATAAATAATTACACGAAACATGCAAATATCAAGTTAAGAGTACCAGAAATGTTTTGAATCCTTCTTGCTTTAATCAAAAGGCCTCACTGTTGAAACTTACACGATCTGTTGCTCATTATGAAACTATATGCTATAATTATTGAATTGCGAAAATGTAGAATGTTAACATGACTTGGGGGGGAAAAAGCTGGAAACCAAATACTCATTTTACTGATGAAAAAACTGATTTTTGCCAGAATTTCAGTGGCTGGCTGACTACCATAGACCTAGGAGAGTTGTGATCAACAAACATCTTGTTTAGAAGTAGCAAACCATGCACCTCAAATGACCTCTTCATTTAAATAGAAATGTATGTCATTTGAAAATGCTGCAGACTTGAGAGGAAGGAGAAACACTGACCAAGAAGCGCTGTACTCGTAACCTGACTTAGAGAATTGCTGCAGGCTTCAAATACATGTTTGACTAATTGCAAGTCATTTGACATTATTGCTCATTTCTATTACTATTTTCCCCAGCAGCCTTAATCTCCAAATTAAACCTCATTGCTATTATTATTGTTATTGTTATTATTATTATTACTACAGTTTAGCTGTCCATCACCATACACCAGTGAGAGGGTCACTGTGCTGCGACAGGGTTAAGTTTAGTCAGCTGTGGATTTCATAGTCCCTGGGACTCAATGAAACAGTCTAGGATCTGGTTATGATAATGCCATCTGTGCCTCTAGTCAGGTTGGCTTCTAAATGATGGTAAAATCATAGCTGCAAAGGAGAGGAGTCATGGGTGGCCCTAAATTTTCACCAGATGACTTCTAGACTTTAATAAAATCCTAAAAGCATTTATTTTTTTGGTATGCGCCCAAAAGATTCTCTATGGCAGGTTCGCATGCTTTGCTATTTCAGTTATAAGCTTAAACGGTCCCAGATGCAGACTAGCATAGTAGGTTACAGGATAATCATGGAATAATTGTCTTTGTTCTTTCCTAAGAGCCAATATCAATGTTTCAGAGATGTAATCAGAAAAACCACAGAGAGGTACAACTGTGTTCACAATGGTCACAATATTAACCCAAATTTGAATTAAAAACATTAGCAGAATTTGAGTACAACCAGACTTAAATGTTATGGAATTGTGCTCCATTTACAGGTCAGAAAAAAATGAAAATGGATCGCTAACTCACTAACCTTACTCAAGAGGCTGAGATCTGAGGTCTATGGTTCAAAGCCAACCTAAGCAGGAAAATCTGTGAGACTCTTCTTTCCATTAAACTACCCACCCTTCCCCCCAAAAGCCACAAGTGCAACTATGGCTCAAGTGGTAGAGCACTAGCCTTGACTAAAAAGCAGCTCAGGGGCAGAGCCAGGCCTTGAATTCAAGCCTCAGGACGGGCACCAAAATATTGTTTTAACAAAGCTTGCTATTTATAGCATAAATAGTAATACTATAAGCCCAAAGCCAAATAAAACAAAATCTAACATAATCTTGCTCTGCTTAGCTCTGTTAGATGTCACATATTAAGCATGTAATCGACTCTAGGATACTGCCTGCTTAGAATAAAAGGAACTTTATGAATATTTTAGATATTCTTTTAGGTGATTAATGAGGTACACTTAACTTAGTATGTGGACGAAACTCCCAGGACTGCAGGGATGGAATAGTTCTTGTCTACAGCTACATTATATTTCTATTTATAAATAATTCTCTATTATCAAAGCTGTATGCATGAACTATTATACACCCATTACATCTCAGAAGCACTTGATCCTACTGCAAATGGTAGTCTGCACAATAAGAAAAGGAATGAGAAATATAGGGACAAATGCACAATCTGCAGATAGTGATGTTAATTTGTTGAAATCTGGGGTTAGAGCAATTCTTATTGATTGGCTTCTAGTGAAATTTATGGTGTTTGGGTTTTGTTTTATTTGTTTTTTTTTTTATGAAGGGCAAACATAAACCCAAGTGGAAATTATAAATATACATTGATCTCATGTGACTTTGTCACAAAGATCATAATAGTAAATCACTGCTACTTTAATACCCTGTTTTTGTAAAATTTAAAAAAACTTCATGTTCTGATTAGTTACATAAGTAATGTTAGTTGGAATATCACATTGCTATTACTGAGCTATTACTTATCCCTTTATTGTATTTGTTTCTTGGCTTGGTTCAAATTTGTCTCTTGTTCATATACGCTAAACCAATTTTATACAGTAATGGCTTACTGTATAAAGAATACAGTGCTGTTCATTGTGTGGAGTGTCACTATGTCAACAGATTTTTCCCACTGTTAGATCCTCAAAACAGATCATAGAAGAAAGAGAAACTTCCTCGGTGTCTTTATCTTGCCAGGTAGAAAGATCTGTTAAGTCTGATTGATGCAAGAGGATGTTGTAAAAGATTTATTTTAGAAATCTTTAAAGAAGGAAGTGGCGCTGTGGCTCCAAGTGGTAGAGCACTAGCCTTGAGTGAAAGAGCTCAGGGACAGAGCGCAGGCCCTGAGTTCAAGCCCCCCGCCCCCCACCACCAACAATACAAATTAAAAGACAATCTTAAAAGAGAATTAAAGGCTTTATCTTTCCTTGTCCTTTCCTCCTGAATATTTAAATCTTAGCAAGTGACTAACACGATGGTTTAAAAGTCTGTAATTGTTGGTAAGCGACTGATGAGCAGATGTAAAGATTAGTATTACTATTAGTATTACTGTTTACCACCGTATTAAATAGGAATGACTATGTCTATTGGTTTGCTTGAAGGCATCTTTGACAAAAGAAGCAAGATCTGTCATTTGTAAGTTTTCTTGTTCTAAAGAAAGTAGTTATATTCTATAGATATAAATTATGTAAATAAAAGTTATTTGATACCAAAAAGAACTTACACTACCCCACAAATCAACTTCAAAATGAATAAATTAATACGAGAATTAAGAACTGTGGCCAGACATAAGATAAAATGTTCTGTATCATAAGAGCAAGAAGACTAAAATATAACAATAATATGAAGAAAATTGCATGGGCATAATTAAAAGATTTCAGTATAATGAGACCTGGTTTATGTTTTATCTGGAAAGACTCGGTACTGTAAAAAAAAAAATTCCTCCTCTTAGACTGCAAGTAAATTCAAATTAAATTTCCATGTGTGCTCTACAAATATTAACATACACTATAAGGGCTCAAGATGTTGATAAGGCTTCTAGTTAGCATGCTCAAGACCCTATAAAAGAGAGAGAATGAGAGAGAGAAAATATAAATAAAATAGCATCAGTTATATAAGTCTGAGAAGTTTTGCACTGATGAGTGAAAAAAGGTAGAGACTTGATTTAAAAAAAAAAGAATTGGCTCATCAATGATTTAATCTATTTGGAAGATAGTTAAAATAGGTTTTTGTTTTTGTTTTCCTTTGGTCAGTTGTGGGGCTTGAAACTCAGGGCCTGGGCTGTCCCTGAGCCTCTTTGCTCAAGGCTAGAGCTCTACCACTGTGAGCCACAGCTCTACTCTGGTGAATTGGAGATAAGAGTCTCATAGACTTTCTTGTCCAGGCTGGCTTTGAACTGCCATCCTCAGATCTCAGCCTCCTGAGTAGCTAGAATGACAGGCGTGAGCCACCAGCTCCTGGCTCGGTTTTTTGTTTGTTTGCTGCATTGGGAATTGAACTCATGGTGTTGATGCTTGCTAGGCAACACTGTGCCATGAGTTCATAGTCCTGTTCTACTGACTGTTTTTCAAGCAACAGTCTTTTATGCACCATTCGCTCAAGACTGCAATATTCCTATGGTGCTGGGGAAGACATGACACTCAGCACTGTTTCCCTGGTTGCTGGGATAACAGGTGTAAGGTACTGTGCCCAGTCATTGGTTGAGATGAGGTTTAAACTCCACACACACCTCCACACAAGTAGCTATCATTACACACACCTCCATACAAGTAGCTATTAGTCCAGGTTTAAAAATAGTTTCAAATTTAACTAAATAAAATAAGCTAAAATAAGTTCTAGATGAGTTAATGGCTGAACAACAAAAAAAGTCACTATTTAGTTGATAATAAAGGGCACAATTTGCAAAAATTACAAATGTTTTATCTTAAACGTCACTCTACATTCTGCCATACTGTTCCTGGTTAAAAATACTACAAAATACCAATTATGTCTAGGAATGCGTTTTCAGCAAACAAGAGTATAAGGCAGCAACGCAGACAATTCTTACAAACTGGTAAGAGAATCATTGCCACCTGGAAGGTAAAAATGGGTATAAGAGAGTTGTATTTAAGTGAGAAATCACAGGTGAAAAATGTCTAGATTTAGTTCCATGGTGTGATACACTTCAGTCCAAAACTCTGTGCTAAAGGAATCGCTGAAGATGCAGAAAACGTGGATACGTATTGTTTATTGTCTGAACCTTGTTTAAAGCAGTGTAGACTACCCATCTCAGAATATGGCTACGATAACTCACAGTACAATCACAGTACAGAGTATTAGCTTTGTGCACTACACACGATTGTCTGAATAAGCCACTGAACACACACACATATTTCAGGAAATGGAAGAAACTGTATCAGACTATGGGTTATTATATTATATTGGTATATTCTATATTAGAGTGGCATCCTGTCTTATGACATCGTCTTACATGATGCCACACGGCACAGGTGATGCATACATTTTCTTGGCAGTGGCCCCTCGGAAGCCAGCTCACCTGCGTAATCCTCGGTTCCATAGTCGTCCGTGGGGTCTTCCACGCGGCTGTAGCGGAAACGCTCCACTTTGGGAAACTCGTTGGTGGGGGAGTATGGCTGCACCGATGTGCCATACAGGACCAAGGACCACTCTTTCAATTTACCTGGAGACGTAACAATGAAGGCACAGCTTCAGCAAATACTCACTTTTTTGTGTGTGTGCCAGTCCTGGGGCTTGAACTCAGGGCTTGGATGCTGTCCCTGAGTTTTTCTGTTCATGGTTAATGCTCTCTACCACTTGAACCACAGCACCACTTTCAAGTATTTTTGTTTTGGAGGGGAGAACGGAGATAGGACACATAGTTAATTCGAGATAAGATTCTCTAGGACTTTCAATCTCAATCTCCTGAGTAGCTAGGAATATGGACATGAGCTACTGATACCTGACCTTTTTTTTTTTTTTTTTGTCAGTCATGGGGCTTGAACTCAGGGACTGGGCACTGTCCCTCAGCTCTTCAGCCGAAGGCTGGCACTCTGCCACTTGAGCCACAGCACTACTTCCAGTTTTCTGGTGGTTAATTGGAGATCAGAGTCTCATGGACTTTCCTGCCTGGGCTGGCTTTGAACTGTGATCCTCAGATCTCAGCCTCCTGAGTAGCTAAGATTACAGGCATGAGCCACCAGCACCAGGTTGGTTAGTTTTCAAATATTGAGCCAAGCACTCTCTACAGAACAGGGTCTCCTACCCAGTTGCCACAAATAAGCTTCAGAGAGTCACATGGGGAAAGAACTTAGCTGCTGAGTTTGAGATTACCAGCAAAGATGTGGTTAATATCTCAATTTCCATGGTTTTTATTTTGGTCAGTTGTGGAGCTTGAATTCAGGGTCCGAGCACTGTCTCTGAGCTTTTTCACTCAAGGCTATCACTCTACCACTTTAAGCCACAGCTACACTTCTGGGGTTAATTGGAGATACGAATCTTAATGGGCTTTCCTGCCTGGGCTGGCTTTGAACTGGGATCCTCAGAGCTCGGCCTCCTGAGTAGCTGGAATTACAGATATGTAATTTTCAGATGGCATTTCATATTTTAGTATCCAATGTTCTTTTTTATTTAAATTCTGTTGTAAAGGTGATGTACAGAGGGGTAGGTAACAATTGCATACGTCAGCAAATGAGTACATTTCTCTCTTAAGAGTGTCACTCTCTCCCTTATTTTCTCCCAGTTTTGACTCTCCCAAGTTGTATAGTGTATTTCCAACACAGTGTCTAGTGGATAGCACTGTTCAATTGATTCACCTTTTGTCCTACCATTTCTGTGTTTCAGATAAACTGGGTCCTGGACCTGATGCTTGAACTCAAGGCCTGAGCGCTCTCCGTGAGCTTTTTTCTCAAGATTAGCACTCTGAACCACAGTTACATCGTCTACTTTTTGGTGATTAATGGGAGACAGGATTCTTACAGACTTTCCTGTCTAGGGTGGCTTTGAACTGTGTTCCTCAGATCTCAGCTTCCTGAGTAGCTTGGATGGCAGCATGAGCTACTAGCCCCTTGCTTAGACACTGGCACCCAGTGCCCATGTAGTTTTGAGATGTGCAGATGGATCAAGATGTATATGAAATAAATAGCATAAAGAGGGGTGATGCTGGTATCTAGTGCTGTTTTGGTTGGGATGTAGCTTGTGTGTTGCACACTTTATCTGTAGTGTGCTGGGTCTACTGGAAGATAACAAGGTCAGGAACTGAGCTTTTGTGAGTGGGGGAATTAATTCTTTATAAGTAAGGCTGTCCCACATGCTCGGTGTCTGCCACACAAGCTCTCTGTCACTCTGGCCTGTACTCTTTCCACTAGGATGGCATCTACTTTAAAGGGCATCACTTATGCCAGCCAGTCAGATGCTAGCATCGAGTTCATGAGTGCTCGGAACTATGTCAGTTAGACCTTGGTATAAAATACCAAGATGGGTATTCCATCTCAGAAATACAAAACGAACACCAGTGTAAAATACTCTTTGAACACAATACAGACTCCATTGTTTTTGTCTACGCTATAAATGGATTAAGGGCAAAAGGATTTCTCACCTGGGGTCTTGAAATTCCTCAGCTGTGAGGGGGTATCATACACTTCAAGGACCCAGTCACCGGCAGCCCGTTCTCCCCAGCAATGAATGGTCATAAACTCCCAGTTTTTAAATCCTTCCATGGAGTGATCAAATAACCTGAAAAAGACCAGGAAAATTCTGTTACATCCTTAGGTTCCAGTCATGCTTTTAAGACCCAGTGAGGACAGACCATTCAAGATACGCTCAAAGATCTTTTTTGTATCTGTCGGCACATTCAGTTGTGTACTGGAGCTTGTGTTTATTCTGGATGTCACATTTGTCCTAGGTTATTGTGTTACGTAAGGGCTGGCCAGGCAAATGCACCTTCGTAAGGGAGGACACCATGAGAGATTAGGCAGGAAAGATAGCTCTAGCCCTGTCTTAGAAGCAACTATGTCAAGGTGCTGGTTTTCAGTGGAGAGGGCACCAAAGGTCTCCAGTTACTGGATGTTGATGGCTACTGAGAATATTCCAGCCACTCTCTTGGCTCTAATTGTAGGCTGCCCGAATACATGAATGGTTATAGTGTGATTTTCTAGGCAGATCTTCCCCTTGGGAAGAAAAAGAGGGAGCCATGTGAAAAACAGACTTAATCTTAAAACAATGTATTAGAAAACTGATCTTAAAAATGATTTTATCCATGTTTGATCAAAATGCCGCAAGTTGGATGTGTGGCTTAAGGGGGAGAATGCCTGTCTTGAGAGAAAAGCCAAGTGAGAGCATGATGTTCAAGGTCCAACACACACACACACACACACACACACACACACACACTCAGAGTACTGTAACTGATCCTCAAGAGAATTAGGAAGACATATTTTTGGGCTAAGAAGAAATTTCTGGGTTGTTATGTAATCAACATGCACCCACACAATCCCTTGTGTAGCACCTGAGATGTTCATAAACTGGGGAAAGGTACACAAAGCAGGGATAGGGAGGAGGAGTTGTGCCAGCCTGGCCTTCTTGCTGGGGATACTATTAAGGGAAGTCTGTTGACATTGAAATGGATGCAGAAGGAAAAACACTTCAGAACTCCTTTCCCAACCGCTCCACAGCTCTTCCTTGAACTCTAATTTGTTGAAACCACGGTGGCTTTTGGAGCAATAACATGTCACATACAATATCTCTCCAAGAGCGCTGAACTTAAAAGGCATTCCCAAACAGTTCAGACAGAACACTGGATGCCTTGCCTCACATCTGAAAACTACAAAGGAGACTGCGGCTGGCATCATACGGGGGGCAAGTCTTGTTTCCATCCCTGCGGCCAACTTATAATTTCACATGGGTCACTTGAGGGCTGAATTAGTAGGCTCTAGATCTTTCTCTTTCTGCTCTTTCTTGTCCACCTTTGAAATCGATTCCTTGCTGCTACCCACCAGTCTCAAGCCACATTTGGAACAACAAAATTAAATAGAAACTGGGTACCAAAAAAAAAATAACTTGAAAAAAGAAAGATATCTGTAAGTTACAATTCAAGTAACTATTTCAAAGCCCAAATATCAGTGGCCTTGTTTATGTCTGGGCCCACCCTGCTTTCTTCACCTTACAGAGATGGAATGTTCATTGATTTCACAGGCATGCAGAAGTTAAGGAAAACGAAAATGACAGGGGTGACTGTGTCCGCTACTGAGTACTCACGTTTCCAGTTTCACAAGATCCTTGGTAACTATGGAGATGGTTTAAGTAGGTAGACTTCACACTGGGATTCTAATTCATCCTTTTGATTATTTTGTACTTTTAGTAAAAGGAAAACCAAAGCTGCATCTTGCCAGGTGCCGGTCACTCATGCCTGCAATCTAGCTTACTCAAGAGGCTGAGATCTGAAGATTTTGGTTCAAAGGCAGCCTGGGCAAGAATATTCTATGAGTGAGACTCTTATTCTTAATCAACCGCCAAAAAGTTGAAAGCAGAGGTGTGGCTCAAGTGGTAGAGTGCCAGCCTTGAGCGAAAAAGCTAAGGGACAGTGGCCAAGCCCTGAATTCAAGTCCCACTAGTGGCAAACACCAAATGCATTCTTCGCATATAACAAGCGCTTGATGATGGTGATGATGATGATGATGATAATGTGGCTTGATGTTGTGAAGAACCTATTTGCCAATATGACAATAGCGTATGGAACCACGGAGAGCTAAGGCAGATTCTTACTAAGGGGTAGCTATCCTCAACTAGAAAATCTAAGGCCCTGTTTGAAGGTCTATACTTTGGGATAGGGGCAGACCTGACATTGTGTGTGTGAGCATAATAACAACAGTGCCAGTGTGCTGAAAGCCCCCAGGGCTGAACCCTGTGCCTGTATCCACGTTTCCTGGGGCAGCGAAAGTCAGCTCCATCCATGTTGACTTCACATTCACATGCTCAGTGAAATGATCTACACAGTAGCACAGGTTATACAGCCAGTTGTTAAAATTATGCCCCGCAGCTCTGTTCCCATGAGTGGTTTTCAAATAAATTACTTTAGATGAACCCTGGTTAAAAAAAGAAGACTACCATTAACTGTAGTACAGCTTTCTGAGGAATTAACTCAGGAAATAACTCATATAATTACTGTATGGCTTTCTGCCCCTCCCTTCTACTTAAAGAGTCTAATGTATCAAGGATACAACATTTTTAATGATGTTACAGAAACTGAATAACAAGGCATTTTGTAAGTAGTGACGGCCATGTGTTATCCTGTAATTATTTCTAAAATTGTAAAAGGATCTTAACTCCAGAATCACCCACGGCTACTCAAACAGTATTTATCACTACAGATTTAAACATTAGACCAATATTCTTTGAAGATTTTTCTTTTCTGTTTTCTCTTTAGCTTATTAATTTTTATTTACTTTTGTAAGGCTTCATCATAATTTAAAACACTGTTTGTAGAATGATTAAAGCACTCATTTGGGGCAAATGTAACTGAGGTTGTGTATGTGTGTCTCTCTCTCTGTGTGTATGTCTGTATAGACAGTTAACTTCTGTAAGATTTAGATGCTTTACTTTTGATTATAAGGTATTTAAACATACAGTTCTCTTTCTCCTAATCTAAATTGCTTGTTTAAGAAAAGCTGAGAACTGGGTGCTGGTGGCTCACGCCTATAATCCTAGCTACTCAGGAAGCTGAGATCTTAGGATTGCAGTTCAAAGCCAGCCTAGGCAGGAAAGTCTATGAGACTGTTATCTACAATTAACCACCAGGAAACTGGAAGTGGTGCTGTGGCTCAAAGTGGTAGAGCGCTAGCCTTGAGCTGAAGAGCTGAGGGACAGCATTCAGGTCCAGGGTTCAAGCCCCATGACTGACAAAAAAAAAAAAAAAGCTGAGAAAAAGGTACTGGTTCTAGAGGTTTGGAAAATCTAAAAGAATGACATGCATATTAGTATCAAGTTATTCACTACCCCCCCCCCCCCCCCAGCCACATTCCTCTTCGGAGACAATATGATGGAAGAATTTAATCTGGTGGAAGATTTATTCCAACTTAGAGAAGATGGCTTTTATCTAAAAATCCGCTTTATATTATCATCTCCTTTGTAAATGACTTGCTTAGCATTGAACAACATACTACCCACAGATCTTTTTATGACACAAAAATAATAAAAATATATGTATAAAAGCTAAATGAGTTTAATTTTTGGTCAGTTGTGGGCTTGAATTTAGGGCCTGAGTGATATTTGCTCAAGGCTAGTGCTCTTCTACTTTGAGCTCTGGCATTCTGGTGGTTAATTGGAGATAAGTCTCAGGGATTTTCCTGCCTGGGCTGGCTTTGAACCATCATCCTTAGACCTCAGCCTCCTGAGTATCTGGGATTTTAGGTGTGAGTTACCTGAGTGTGGATCTATGTGATCTTTTAAATTAAGACTGAGGGATGGTTAAGAGACAGGTACCTTCATTCTTTCCTGGGAACATACTAGAAAGGATATTCCTTGGGCCTTGCCCCAGACTAATAGAACCAGCAACTTTGGGAGGGGCCTAGGTTTGATGAACCACTGATTTTGATAAGCACTATGTAAATAGGATACCACTTACTTATAAACTAAGCTCTCACTGTAAGATTAAGATAGCTTACTAACAATCTTCTGAGGCACACACCATTACATCTCTTGTATAAATGAGGAAATTCACTTCTGCCCAACTCTAAAGGTTGGTTTTGAATGAGGGAATCCAGCTCTACCGTAGCGCCTTCCTGGAATATGAAACCTTTACTGTAGAAGTATATTTCTCATGATGAGCCACAGATGCATCCTGATGTAAAGGTGTTCACAGTGATCCATGGGGTTGTCACTGAACAATTGTTGCAGTGTAACAAAAAGGAGTGAAATATACACACTGCATTTTTGAACATAGCTAACTACAGAAATGTATGTTTTGTTTTTTTTTCCCCGACTAGAAAGCATACCTCCTTTCTACTTAAATCCATAATTAGAAGCAGAGATACTCTTCTGTAATCAAATTTAGGAAGCAAGACGAAGTCTCAGCTTTCAGTTCCAGGCTAAAATTTGGAACAGAAAGCCAATACAGCCAGGCTAAATCGAAAACCCAAGGAGGGGGAGTGGCAATCATTTTCAGGTGGCTGATGGGGTGGAGAAGGGGCCTCACAGTTCTTTGTCATGCTCACAAATACAGTTGAAAGAAGAATCTGAGGGGACAAGCTTTTGTGAGAAAATCTTTTATTCTGGCAGAATGAATGTGATTGTCATCCTTAAAACCTTCCATTAGACAAACCGCTCTTACCTAAAAGCATTTTCAAAGGAACCCCAGCCACTGTGGCTTCTCCCAACACACCTGACCTCCATAGTCTGCATCCCAGTATACTGAACTGAATAGGCAGTTTGGCTTTTTGTTAGGAAGGGACAGAGGCCAAGAAGAATTCTTGAAAGGGTGGATGGGACAGGCAAGAGAAGAACAAAGGAGAGAGAAGTTAGTATCCATTTGTCTACCCTAGGACTGATCTGTTGACCCACAATTCCAAGCCCTTCAATTATCAACGCGGTTTGCCAGGGGAGCTTCCTGCTGAGCTAATGGGGCTGAAGTTCAAGTTGGACTGGAGTTCTGAATGCTGCCGAGAGCCTTCCAGTGCTCAGCACCTGCAGCTTGGGCAAACCATTCTCTTCCAAGCAGCTGCTCTCCACAGGAGCTCGGGTCCTTGCCCATCAGCCAGGACAGGGAGCCACCAAGGGGCTCCAGACGGCCCACATAGATGCAACCGAAAAGGTCCAGCCCTGTGCAGAAAATGTGCTATTGTGGGGGAGGACAGAAACAGTTGTGAGAAAAACCTTCATTGGAAAGCCCAGGAAAAGAAGGGCGCAGGCATCATAACCAAAAAGAAAGCCCCAGATTGGGAGGCCAAGTGGTTCACAGGCATCTATACTTCAGTGGACTGACTAATCCATGGTGTGTCTAGGCTGCTTCAAAATCATTGTTTGTTTGTTTTCACACTTCTGCCAGGCTAGCAAAGATGGGCCATAGGGAATTCAATGTCAGGGAGAAAAGGAGTCTGTCTTCCATAGATGTAGGACAGCTGAAATCAGCTAACTCAGCCATGACAAAGCTCCATGCATTGTCATGTCACACTGGCCCTGCTGTGGACCTTGTTTAGTCTTTCATTATTCATACACTCTAACTCCACTCCTTGCTCTCTGTGCCTTTGCTCAGGTAGCTTAAGTTCTTTGGTTGCCTTTTGAGAGATGAGTCTCCCTGTGCAGACCAGGTGGGCCTTGAACTCGCATTCATCTGACCTCCTGACAAATTCCACCATGGCTCATTAACAATCTACAGTTCCTAGACATAAAAGGCAAGTGTCCAGCAGAGGATCTGTGACTCACCGATTCTTGCTAAAATATGACTTTAGTCATGTTTTCCTTGAGGAGAATAACTGCCTTGCAGAGGGACATGAAGGATGCCAGGAGCATTTCAGCTCTTCCTTCATCCTCTGTCTCTCTCCTGTTCCCAAATCTCAGCTTCCTACCTAGGTTGGTATTTGAACCAGGGTCAAGGTGAGAAGATATCAGATCTCTAGGCCCGTAGTTTTCAGGCAGAACTTGCCTCTAAAACAATGAATGTCTCAGAATGTGTAGGAAGGGGGAAAAATGTCAAAAGAAAGAGTCTTTCAACATAGTGTCTAGTGAGTATCACTGCTGCAATTGTTCACCCTTTTTTCCCTCCCTTTCTGTGCTCCTCCCTTCCCCTCCCCAAACAGAGAAGCTTACATACAAAAGTTACAGAAAGCAAAAACAGCCACAAGGGAGAAAACAAAAAAAAAAGCAAATGAAATCAAAACAACAGTAACAAAAAATAACAAAGCCCTTCTATGTTGACAAATGAACTATATACTTTTGTGGGAGAGGAAGATTATGAGAGAAAAACTGGGAGAATATGAGGGGAGAGGTGACACTTCAAAAAGAAATGTACTCATTAGCTGGCTAATGTAACTGTAACACCCTCTGCGCATCACCTCTATAATAACAATAATAAAAAAAGAGAAATAGTCTTCCTTTGGTTTTCTGGGTTAGAGGAGGTGCTACCAGTACCTGCACTGTAGGACAGAGGAAATAGGCCACCCTAGAAAGTGGCTGTAGGTGGTTTGGGGACTGGTATGGCTGTTTCCCATTCTATATATCAACTGTCCTGAGTAGTGTATTCAGGGAGCTTTAGACAAATAAATTCATAACATCCTTTCTACCTGTTGGCACCTTCAGCCCTTTCCAATCTTACTACTTCTTTATTGATGGCTACATCTTCTCAAGATTCAGATGGAAGATGTACAAAATGCAAGATGTGGTAAATCAGGGCACTGGGTGCAATTTTAATGAAGGAAATGGATGTCAATCTTGTATGCATTGCTTTCTGAGCATCCCAAGTGCCTTTTTCTCATCTCTGATGCTGGTCACAAGGCACCCTTGCATTAGGTAATTTGCAAAGCCGACGTCAGGTGTAGAGGAATGCATTTGAGGTTGGAGCCAGTGACCTTGCAATCCAGCAAATGTATGTTTTGGAACCTGTAGGTCCTCTGCCCCCAAGTTTTCCCACTGACATTATTTTGAAGGAAGCTAATTAAACTAAGCAGGAAAGATGAAGGAAGGACCAAGACACTTGAATTGCCCAAGCAAACAACAACATGGATGATGGCCACATGTATGTGAAGCAAATCTAGAATCTTTCAGTGTTTGATCAGGACACTGTCTAGTCAACACAAGGTGAATAATATTAGAGATTAAAAAATAGTAATAAAGGTTTCCCCTTGCTTGGGTAACAATGGTGGTAAGACCTCCATAAATCATATAATTGCTTGCTGGAAAGAAGTGACAGGCAGGTAAGGGCAGTCACCTGGCAGGCCGCAGCAGGAAAGGGAATAGAAGAATCCAATGTCAAGAGACACTTATGTTTCTTGCACCTGCATACTTATTTCTAGCGAAGCTTTACTTCATAGATAAAGCATGAAGCCCAAGTTTTTCCAGGCCCAGGAGGAGATGTTGGTTTTATAAGAAGAATACAGAAAGTCTAAGCACAGAAATCAACCCCACTGAATATTTCTAGCTCTGTACTTTTAAACACTCACCTAGAGATGCTGTGGCTTAATTTTTGCCACTTTTTTTTATATAGTGGGTCAAGTATTGAACTATAAAAAAAGTAGCTGGCCAGGTGCCTGTCACTTATATCTGTAATCCCAGCTACTCAGGGGGTGGAGATTTGAGGATTATGGTGCCAAGCCAGTCCAGGCCGGAATGTATGTGAGACTCTTATCTTCAATTAACCAACCAAAGGCTGGAAGTGGAACTATGGCTCAAGTGGTAAATTGTCAGCCTTGAGTAAAAAAGCTGAAGGACAGCATCGAGGAACACTGAGTTCAAGCTCTAGTACTGACACACACAACACACACACACACACACACACACACACACACACACACACACACACACGAAGCATCATGTGAATGAGTTCTGTAAGACAACCTGACAGTTCCCATTGACAACTCCCATGCACGGAGCAAAAGAAAACTCGTGCCTGAGTGTTCTGGACTTATTCTTTTGGCAAGATTCCAGCTTGTATACCATCATTACTTTTCTGTGGACAAAATGTATGAGAATAAGAAGAGGGAAAGGAAAGATAGGAGAAGCTGGTATCCATTAGGTAATGAAGACTGAAGGGAACGGCCCTGAGAACACCGCCAAAAGCCACACCTGGCCTCTTGAAGTGGTTGTCAATCATTCTGCAGCATCTTTCTATTGTCCAACTATGAGATGCCACACTCCAGCCTCTAGATGGCGACATCATGACCTTCCCATCCTCCTCAGATGACCCCCAGAGAAGGACGCAGGAGCTGCTGTCCCTTTCTAACCTAAAAGACAGCTCAGGGCTGTTGTGACAGAAACCATCGCTGTACCTGTTGGCCAAAAGTTGCGATCTGGTTCCGGAGGGAGAAGTCAGGTAGATGGCTAGATCTCCTCTTCGAGGGTGGGTGATGGTAATGCGTACGACTACGTGTTCCAGGTAGTTGACATGGTGGTTGGAGTTGTCGGAACAGCCCGAGGCTTTGTAGATGGAACGGACAGCACTGTTGGGGCGAATGGTCCTGCCGGACAGAGAGGAATGAGTTGGAAGACGTTGTATGGCAGAGCTCAGGCAAACGAACCCGGAGGCTTGGAACAAGTGCCCCAGCAAAGCAGCTTAGTCATGGGACACTAAATGGCAGCCTTGCCAGCAAACAAATGATTGCGTCACTGGTTAGACCGGGAGACAGGAGAAGGGGGAGTCAAGGTTCTTCTGTCTGTCGAGGTGCGGGAATCACACTTGAATAAGCATAGGAATCACTTCCAATAGCCCCGATATCTAAGTGGCTGACTGTAGGTCTGGAGTAGACACCAAGCATTTTTGTTTCTGATCCGTTCCTAGGTGACAGTGACATTGTTGACCTCTGGAATACACTTGGAGAACTACTGTGCTGTGGTAGAGTGGAGGCTTAGGGGGGTTCTCACAACCTGATTCCAGTTCTGGGCCCTACCAACTAAGAAGTCATGTGTTCCTAGCTTCCAGCCACACTAGCCCTAGTTCAACTCCGGGCCTAATCCAAGCTGACTGGAGATAAGCAGCATCTCACAAACTTTTCTGCCCAGGTGGCTTAAGCCAAGAGCAAAACACGAATGAGGCCATTCATGGGATTTAGTGTGGGAACTAGTTCATGGGAACTAGTATGAATTCACACAACTGTTAACACAACTAATACAATTAACTACATTAGTTATGACTTAACCATGAGTACACCTCCAAGTGTATATGCCTAATGCTGAGGAATAGGTCCTCCAATCTCTGAGCAAAGTATAATCTCACTTTCTCCACATTTGCCTTCTGGAGAACAACACGTTACGGAGTTCAGTTTCTAGAACATCAAGTTCAGTGTTGAAGTACACAGACTTCTGAAGAAAGGTTTCTCCATCAAATATTGGGCAGTAGAAAGCTTTGGGAGGTCCCCTGGGAAGGACTCCCCCAGTACTATTTCACAGGAAACCTCTCTTTGACGGATGTTTGTATTCTACTCGTGGGGATTTGGAATCCTAGACCTTCTCCCATGATTTTGTAATCACCTTAGAAAGAAACTACAGTACTAGTGTCTAGATTCCATGGGCAACAAAGAGCTGTGGTGAATGGTGCTGGCCACTGGTCTGGGGACAGTTTCGGGACACCGAGTGGCAGGAAAGCTTACTTGATCTGTCGGTCTGTGCTCTCCACACATACGTGTTGCTGAGGAACTGTGGTCCACTTCTCCGCTTCCATCACCATGGCTTCTGCATCCATCAGTCCAAATCCATAAAGGTGGCTCACTGTCAAAGACAGGAAGCTGGTGAGCATCCATGCAGTCAGGAGCAACCTACGCTATCAAACATGTTGAGCGACAATGTCACTCACACCAAGACCCCAGACGTCCCAGGGGTTCAGAGTTGGGGATTGGGCCAAGATGGAACAAACCCAACCCAAACCAATCATCCTAACAAGAAGAAAATAAGAGGGTAATAAATTATTCACTGATTATGTGTTACTACATGCTGCAAAGTGGCCTACATTTTTTACATGGAGTCTTGCCAATAGACTAAGGATGGTAGTCTGGTTGCCATCAGAGGAAGAGAGAATCTTAGCAGACGTGGACCCACATATTGGTGGATGAAGCTGGATTCTAACCCACAATGTTTGTACCAGGACTGTGCTGTTCACTATTTGCCTTAGAAAATAATGGCACAGCTGCTTTTGTACAATAAAACCACTAGTAGCTTTAAAGGAAGGTGAGAAGATAACCAGTTTCTCAGAGTGTAAGTAAAACTCACATGCAAGAAATACCAGTTTTTTGACATATCTAGTAAATTAGGTTAAAGACCCCAGAAGACATAAAATTGCCTTTCTTCTAGTGTGTGAAAAATTCCTTCAATCACATGCATAAAATATTTGGAGGCCTCTAGATTTTTAGGGCAGCCTCTTGTCTTTGCAGCTGCTAGTTCTCAATTAGAATACTCATCGAGCCAAAGCTGAATTTGATAGAACTGTTTCAGAAATGTCAATTAGGCACAGAAATATTTTTATGATGACTCAGCAACATTTACTTGTGCAGTACTTTCCCCAAATGCTTTAAATTCTCAGGTGAATACTTAAAATCTTCATTCTCTTGTATTATTATCTTCAGCACTAAGTCATGCTTCTATCAGATTAGGCTTAGTATAATTTTCAAATTTCGTTATATTATACAAAAAGTTCTACAGCTGCATGGCTTTATGCATTATTTAAACACACTAAAGCTTCAAACTTGTGGTGTTCTATGCTATTGTCTTACATGACTCTGAAAACAACCCCCTCCCCAAACATTTTGCTTTCACTAAGTCAGAGGCTGATGCTTCTATCTCAATGCTTTTGCTCATGCTGAGCCCTTGGCCTGAAATTCCCACATTATTTCTTTCTTCAGAGTCAAACCCTACTCTTTAAAGTTCCTTGAGGACAAGTTGGTCTATTTTCTCCTTCCTTAAGTATTCTGTGACCAATAAAAAGATCAAGAGATTTATTGAAATTTAACCATCTGTGAACAATAAACACTCCTCCTTTTCCCTTCTAGACTATTTTGTCAACTCATTTGTTCTGTTCATCCATCTATCTACCCATCCATCCAACCATCCATCCATTGCATCCAGTTACCCATCCATTCATCCATCATCTTTGAATTTCCTCTATGAGTTCCCACCTATGCTGTAGGTACTGCATTAGACACTGAACTTTTGATCTATGTTGTCAGTTGAATTGCTAAGTAAGTCTGTCTGTAAGTATGTATCCCTGTATCCCAACTCTTCTATAATCTACTTGGAGGCAGGAAATAGGTTTTCTATTTCTTTAGAGCTTTTGTGAATATATGCACAAGGAAATACAAAGACATTAGAGGAAATTGTGCTAGGATTCAGTAATCATATAATTCTAAGCAATATTTCCTTAATTTGGGTCTTTTCACTGGGTATTTGTGTATGTCCCAGGTAAGAAGATCTGAGTAAAGACCTATACAAATGGAAAGGCTCATTATTTTGCAGGTACTTAGCTAGACAAGGCATACTGAATAAATAAAAGTAAATCTACTTTGTTATAGCGAGGATATATATAGCAAGGGGATTTTTATTCATGCATGCTTTTGCCACTTTTATTATTCATCATTTTTTCTTTTTAAAATGTTTTCTTGATTAAAACTTAATGTAAGTTCATTTTTAATATCTTAAAATATATCCATAAAGGAATAGAGAAGTGAAGTTACTGATAAAACCTGGTAAATAAATAATAAAACCTGCAACTCCTCTGAACAATATGGTGTATTTTGTTTTTGTTATGTAACAGTATGTCAGAATACTATAAAAGGACAGGTCATAAGATCTGTCTCCTTATGATCTGGGAGAAAACTGAAATTTCAGCTATGAGATGAGAAGGGCAAGGAGAGAGGGAAGTTAGGAAACACTACTAGACAGGTGGACAAAGCTGTCAATGTCCAGAGCGGGGTGACTATAAGTCACATTAACTTACTATATATTTTATAAAAAGTAGAAGAGAGGAGGTCAAAAGCTTTATCTATAAAGGAATGATATGACATTGATCAAGATATACTGTATTCATCAACTGCTGTGTTAAATAGCAGCTCCCTTATACAATTACTGAAAGATCATACAAAGTATTTTTTTTTTTAAATGATAGATAGAAAGACCATCCTGGAGGGCTGGGAAGGTGGCTCAGTAGTAGAGCGCTTGCCTTTCATGCATGAGGCCCTGGGTTCGATTCCCCAGCACCACATAAGCAAAAAGAAAAAAAGCTTGAAGTGGCGCTGTGGCTCAAGTGGTAGAGCGCTAGCCTTGAGCTGAAGAGCTGAGGGAGAGCGCCCAGGCCCAGAGTTCAGGCCCCACGACCAGAACCCCCCACCCAAAAAAAAGAAAGAAAGAAAGACCACCCTTGGGTGGCAGCCACACATTGTATGTCATATGTCATATGTGCTCCATAAACATGCATAATTATTACATGCAAATTAAGAACAACTTAAAAAGCTAAAGTTGGAGAAAAGTTGAGCTTACACAAACAAAATGGTGGCGATCTTGTGTTACCATTCATGTGCTGTGTATGTATTTTTCCAGGTATCATTTCATCATATGTACCAGGCATATTCTATGGGGTATTTTTTCCTTGGGGAAATTGCAATGTCCCCCAGAATGAAATTACCCCAGGTTATACTAGACCGCTGACCATTGTTCAATATGCAACATCTCCCATGTTGGTGTCCAGTGGATTTAGTAGAGTACAATGTACTATTTTATTCCAGCTGTCAGATGCACAAAGTATTACTCAATGTGCGATGAGAAATGAGAGCAGCAACAGCACTCCACCAGAACTGGGGAGAACGTTAACATTTTGCCTGTGATGCGCACAAAAACTGACCGTAGTTCATGGATGAAGATTTAATGTGAAAGCCTGGTATCTCTTCCATCTAGGAAGCAGCTTCTGGTTCTTCTGGTCTGGTCATCCAGGTTTGCCCAGGACTTTCCTTATGTTATCCTCACATGCCCTGTGTCTGAGGAATTTCTCATTCCCGAGCATACCAGGGGACTGGCCATTCTATCTGAACCTAAGGTGGAAAGGTGAGGCTGTGATGGGCTGCACAGAACCCTCCTAGTTGTTCTTTTTCCCCCTGTACCTTGATGCATTTTGAGATGGAGTCTCCCTTGATCATTTCCCAGGCTGGCCAGAGCTGTGACCCTTCTCCTGTGGTTTCCCACATTGCTGACCTCCCCCCTCCCACACCCAGTCCTTGTATTCCCAAGGTAGCTGAGATGGATTCTCAAGAGCATCTCTGAGCTGCACACACAACCTCTTCAATCTGAGTTTCCCAAGCAGCCTGGGTAACAGACTTGCGCTACTACACCGGCCTTCTTACAACTTTGAATAGTAAATAACCGAGTAACAGAGGGCAGAGAGTTACCCTGAAGCTATATTTGTATTTGTCAACAATGCATCAACGTGTGAATGACAGCTAACAGATAGGTTTGACTTTGTGGTTATTCAAAAGTGCTGATTTCAATATATGATACCAGTACAGGCTGGCATCCTTACTGGGAAAAATCCAAACTCTGAAAGTTTTTGAATGCTGACATCATGCCACACGTGGAAATGTTCATATTTGGTTGCATGTGACAGGTTATGTCCAAAATGATAACGAACGAAAGTACTATATAAAATTACCATTAGGTTATTTGGGATGCATAAATGAATTAGACCCCATTTCATCGTGCACATTCAAGAATCTGAAATCCAAAGCACTTCTGGCCCTAAGAATAAGGTATAGACAGCATGAATAAGCTAATAATTGACTCGGTTATTATTCCACTGTGCTGTGTTGTGTAACACCTATTCTATATTTAAACATATGCCTACACTGAAGATCCGAAGAAACCAAAAATGATTTGCACCTCAGTCAATTAAAGGGTGAGAGAACAATCACGTTAGGATACAATAGCAGGGAAATAAAGACACCAAAGTGGGTAATTACATTAAGTCTAACAGAACTTCAAAAGAAGTAAGACACCATTAGACCAGTGCTGGTGGCTCACACCTGTAACCCCAGTTACTTTGGAGGCTGAGATCTGAGGATTACAGTTAGAAGCCAGCCTAGGCAGGAAGGTTTGTGAGGGACTCTTATTTCCAATTAAGCAAGCATGCATACACACACACACACACACACACACACACACACACACACACACACACACAAACACACACACCATTTAAAATGAAAAGTAATGGATGTGTAAGAGCCTACGGAGCCTTGCATACAGTGACCACTCAGATGATGTTAGCTGAGGCAGATAGTTGTGCCACATAAACTGAGTGGTAAGTGCTTGCTACCTGGCTTGAAGGTTGATGCATGAACTCTTTAGTTTGATGCACATGCAGACACAGGGAATGCATTCCAAGGGCCAGGACTGAGCCCCCCGCTAACATAGTCAACGAGGCCATCATACTGTGGTTTTCGGATAGGGTCTCGCCCTTTTGCCCAGGCTGACTGCCATAGTATGATTTTCCCCCACTCTGCCTCCTGAGTAGCTGGGATTACATGCATAAACCACCATGCTCAGGCTGAATAGTTCTTTAGGGCATTGTTGCCATGAAAACCAGGGGAAGGGGGGAGCTGGAGATCAGTGGTTTGCATTGGATGGGGAAAGTGGGGGTAAATACCTCGGGAAACCAAGTGGGTCCATCAGAGTGTGGGAGAACTGAAGAACCACCAAGATGGCTGGAAATCACCCACCACCACCACCAACGA